GCAAGAATAATAAATAACAAAGAAAGTATAAAGAAAATACAAGAAGAAACAGAAAATAAAGAAGAAAAGATAGAAGAAGAAAAAGAAAAAGAAGAAATACTTGCACTGAAAAATCAAATTACTGAATTAAAAGAAAAGTTAAAGAATTAAGTATGAAAAGAATGGAAGAAGAAAAAGAAAAAGAAGAAATGATGAGAAAAGCAAAAGAAATAGTTAAAAAAGAATTTGAAGAAGAAATTACAGAAATGAAAACACAAAATAGAAAGATTCAAACGAATTATGAATAAATGAAGAAAGAAAATGAAAAATTAGAAGAAGAAAACTTAGAACTACAAGGAAAAATAAATGAGATAGAAGGAAAGAAAATCACAGAAGTAAATAATAAAGAAGAAAAAATCCGAAGCATCCAAGCTAATAAAAAGAAGATGGAAAAAGAAAATGAAGAAATGAAGGAAGAAATTGGAAAGTTGAAAAAGAGAAACAAAATGCTAGAACAAAATGCAAACACATTAGAGAAAAAAATTGAAATGATAGAGGAAAATACTAAAGAATTAAAGAAAGAAATAAGAGATAAAGAAAAACAAATCTCTGAATATCAAGAAATCGTAATTAAAAACCAAGAAATTGTAGAAATAACAAGAGAAGAATTAGACAACACACAAAAAGAAAATGAAGCACAAAAACAAATAATATCAAAACAACAAGATGATATTGAAAATTTTATTTCACAGAAGGAACTAGAGAAGAAGAAAACGATGACACTTGTGATAAATACACAACCAGTACTGAGGAAAACATCATCAGGAACAATGGAGATGAACGAAACTACTCCTATGAAAAAGACAGTAGTGGAAATCGAAGAGAAAAGCAAAGCACTGATTGTCAAAAAACAAGAGATGATAGTCAGACAAGAAATACAACAGAACAAACAAATAGAATTCTAATTGAAGTGTTGTATTGTTTTGAATTAATTTGTTAAATAAGAAATTATATAAGAAATTAAGATGGGAACAAATAGAAAGTATAATAAAAGTGACAAACATCAATGTCAATAATAAAAAAGAATATGTTAAATATATTAAAATATCACATAAAATAAAAGAAAGCACTAAACGATACATTAAAATGAAAATAAATGATATAATAGAAAGAAGAGTAGAATGTAATTCAATAATAAAGAAAAAACATATTAAAGAATAACTCTACAGAAATTGATGAAGAATACCTTAACACTCTCATCAATAAAGTGAAAGAAATGAAAGTAGAAAAATGTTCAAACATTAATTACTACTTTCAAAGAAAAGAAACTGACTAATTAATAATTGAAATTAATAATAGATTGATATTGTCAGGAAGCAGAATTGATTATCTGCAAGATGATATGAATATTTCAATGATTATGCACCTCTATCTCCAAAATAAAATAATACGAGATAAATTTGATGAAATAAAAGAAATCCTAAAGAAAATCAATAGACTAGAAGATTTAGTCAAGGGAAGAAAATGGTACAGAATAAAGTACATCATGAAATTAAAAGAACATGATGAAGAAGGAATAAAAGTTAAAGCACTAGAAAGAATAAAATACCTAAAATATATGATGATAATGATAAAAGAAAAAATTAAATTTAATAAAAATGAAATAGTCAGAATCAATACAAATAAAATCATGTTTGATTCTAACAAGAAAATTAGAATAAGGAAGACCCCAAAAATGAAATATACCCAAATAACGATATTACTTTAGAATATTGGAAATTATATGAAACACAGGTGATATTAAATAAAGAAAATTGGAAAATAAAACAAATCACCTCGTGGAATGAAAGATATATCAATTATGATAATGTCATTATAACAATAAATGAATTAAATTTAAGTATAATGAAAATAAGTAACTGGAAAACACAATGAATAGACACTATATATGGGTATTATTGGAAAAGGATGTCATCATCAAGAGAAATCATTCTCAATATCTTTAATGAATGGTTGAACTTCAATCAAAACATCCCATTAGATATGGTAAGTGGAAGAACTTTATTAATCCACAAAGGAGGTGATAGGAATGATGTCATTAATTATTATCATATCAGTTGTACAAATGTAATTAAGAAAGTATTTACCTCCATATTAAAAGAAAAGATTCACAGAAGACTTAACATGAATTGTGAATCATTGAAAATTAGTAGCAACCAATTGGGATGTAAATTGCAATCTTTAGCTGCTAAAGAAGGAATAATTAATAGTTATATGATGAAGCAGCAAAAAGAAGAAAAATACCCAAAATATGTGGAGTCATATTATGACATTAAGAAAGCATATGACACAGTAAACCATGAATGGGTAATTGAAACATTAAAATATTTTAATGTAGAGGGTGTCATCATTGACATTATTGAAAGTATGATGACTAGATTGAAGATATTCATCGGTTATAAATTTAATGAATATCTAGGATGTATTAAATTAAATAGAGGAATTTTACAAATGACTCATTATCAAATCTACTCTTCATCATTCAGATGAATGTAATTTCCCAAATCATCGAAGAGAAATTCCCAAAAGCAAATCACACTTTATATATGGATGATTTGAGAATAATGACGGAAAGTAGTGAAGAAATGGGAATAATCCACAATGAAATTAAAGAAATAATAAGTGGAATAGGGATGGAAATGAATGAGAAAAAGTCAGGAATGGTATTAAAAAACATTAAAGAAATACCAAATGGAATGCAAAACATCCCCGTAATTGAAGGTGAGGACTTGTATAAATACTTAGGAATATGGCAGTCCGACGAAATTGATGACACCTTCAATTGTAAATCCATCAAAGAAAAAATGAATCAGAAGATGGAAGAAATAAACAGTGATGAAAGTAGTAATAGAAGATATATTACTAGAATAAACACGGAAGTAATCCCTATCTTCAGATATTCAGCATCAGTTGTAAATTGGAAAATCACCTAGATAAAATTGATTTGGAGATAAGAAAATATTTAAGAAAGGCAAAATACATTGGTGAAACTCCAAAGATAGGTTGTATGTCATTATAGAAGAAATGGGTGAATGATTAATAAACATAAGGGACGAATATGTTAATGAATTAGTAAGAACAATAATGTACTACTGTACCAGAGAAAGTGAAATAAGAAATAACATATTAGATAGATGGTACAGTAAGAAATGAATAAGGAATAGAATTAAAAAACATTAAGTCATAAAATCCCAGAAACAAAAATAGAAGAAATAATAAATGAAGGGATAGAAAAGAAAAAAGAAAAAGAAGTAGTAGTAGAAATAAAAAATTATTGACCGACCAATACATCAAAAAATAGAAGTCTCATCAAATAAGTGACATTTTAGAAGATGGTTCGAGTCAAAATGAGTAGATAAAACTATTACAGTTAAAGCATGGAAGTCAATCAATATTAAAAAGAATGCATTCCTACAATTAACTAAAATGCAAGATGGAGTAATATTTTGTGGGTATAGAAAATCAAAAATAATGAAAAATGAAAGATTGAAATACTCCACACTTTGTAAAGACAAGATAGCAACAGTAGAACACATTCTACTATCTTGTATTTATCATAAAAATCACAAATAGAAAAACATGACCATATAGGCATAATAATATTGATTAATAAGAAAATACACTGGAAATAAACAATATAAAACCCCCATATGAAACAACATTCCAATATAAAGACATCACAATGATATGGAACAAACAAATAATGCATAAAAATGAATGACAATATCACAAAATATCAGACATATATGTAATAGATAAAAAGAACAAAACTAATCTAATATTTGATATGACTATTGTGGCTGATCACAATATTATTTGAGTGTAAATGAAGAAAAGAAATATGTATAAGGAATTAAAGAATAGGTTAATGAAAATAGAAAAGTTAAAAGATGTCAAAATAATTCCAGTAGTAATCTCAATCAATGGATTAATGAATAAAGAAAGTAATAAATTAATTAAAGAATTAAAAATTGAGATCGACATCGAGAAAGAAATTAAAAACCTTGTAATAAAAAACATGAAGGATGTCATGGAATACTGCTTCAATCATAACCAAACATACTCAATAAAATTGCTAGAAGAAGACTCATTGTTATTAGTCTCCCCTGAGGCAGGAACAATAGAATTTAATTCTATTAATACTTAATTAATTGCTTGTTATATTTAAATATGATATATTTTTAATTAATTTAAATTAATCAAAAAATACTTTTTGTTATAAAAACCGATTAAAATTCAAAGAAGACTCCAAAATTAGATGAAGAAAATCATTAAAAAGACGAATAAAGCCATAACAACTCCTGTTGTTTTGTTATCCTCAGGACTATTGGATGGATCACCAGATGGACTAACAATAACGCATCCAATTGGATCTTTATTATCATCACCAGCACCATCTTTAGGATTATATTCAGCAGTATCCCCAGTTCCTAATTCCATTTCAACATATAAATTATTTTGAAGTTGAGAACCATCGTCATATTCATCAACGCCATTAATACCACAAAGAGTGTTCCAATCAATTTTGAAATGTCCATTCTCAACTCCCCAATCATTTCCCCAAGAGCTTCTTACCCAAAGGAATTTATGTCCATCACATTCTCCATAACCATCAACAACAACAATATGATCAGTAATTTTTCCAGTACAACTTTCAGACTTATAAATACCACCTACATATCTCAATAATGAATCAGTAACTTTCATTGCACTAATAAATCCATGATATTTATAAATAATTTCTTTTATTTCTTCCCAATTTTTATTGGCAAAGTGAGTA